CAGGTCCCTCCAAGGTGACCCATCCACCCAATCCTCAGGCACCATGTCCTGGGAAGGGAAAGGGACAGGCCCCACTGGAGGGGCCATAGTCAAAGAGAAACTAGTGGGGTGGGGAGTTGGGGTGCTGGGAAGCTCATTTTCAGATGGGGAAAACCATACCAGGCCCCTGTGTAGTTCCACCTTCCTCCTGGCATAACACCTCAGACAGATGTTCAGTTGCCCCTGGTTATGGGGTGCTCACTTCTTTACCAGGTAGCCAGTTCCACTGTTGGAAGGTTGCTTGGAAAATCCTTATTTCTCCTGTGTCCCACTCCACACAGCCAGCCCTGGCCCATCCTGCGTACCCTCCTTCTCCCATTTCCCATGAACCTATTCAGCAAGCATCAGCTGGCTCTTGATGGGTGCCCGGCCCCGGGCTAGGCCCTACCTACACACCAATGAACAAGACAGGTGACAAGGCTCACAGTCCGCCTCTCTGGCCCATGCAGGTAGCTCCCCCATATACCAGCCTTCCTGGACACACCACCTGTTGTCCAGCAGTATCTGCTTCTTCCCTCCACCCAGGCTCTCAAGAGAAACATGTCCATCTCCTCCCTCAGCAACAAGTGCCAAGATTCTCTAAGCCAATCCCAAGGGTGCAAACAAAACTTAACAAGTAGAATAGGGGCAGTGGGGAGAAGAGTGACACTGATCACGTGTCTCCAGGCCCCACGGGTCATTCCACATTCTCCCCATAACAACCCCATGAGTAGGCTTTGCTATCCTCGGTATACACAGGAGGAAGCTGAGGATCAGAGAGGTGAAGCAATTGCTCAAGGACACAAAGGAGGAAAGGGCAGAGCAGACTCCACACACAGGCAGGCCGCATGCACACACGATCTGGAATTCTCAGTGCCCACTCCTGTCCTGGCCAACCTGACAGATCCCTCTGCAGTCTCTATGCAGCAGGGGTCCCCGCCCTGTGCTCTGGACACTTTCTTGCTCCCACAGAAATCAGCCAGTCTGAGAGAAAAGGGTACTATTCTGAAAGATAAAAATGGCTCGTCTCTGAAACATGAGTGAAATTTTTAAAAACTCAATAGCTTTTCTGGCTTCCAGGCACCTGTGGATGGTGAATAGACAGGGGCCACACTTACTGCTTGCAACACACCCCGCCCCTCTGCCAGCCCATCCCCTCCTCTCACATCTCCGCCCATGGGACTGAGCATTTCACAAGGCAGACAATGGGAGGGGAAACTGGAGACAGAGACCCGGAATCAGCCTCACCATACCAACCAGCACCACCCAAGCCCTGGGAGTACAAACACGGCCCCCTCTACCTCTTCCCTTGCAGCCACCCAGGGCGGGAGTCCTTGGGACCAGCAGCAAAGCAAATCCACTGAGTTCAATGGGAAAGGCTGGCACCAAATCATTGGCTGTGGCATTTGATTCTGAAGGGTAACACAAGGGGTTGGCCAAACCTGCCATGCATGCCTGCTGTCACCCCTCCTGCCATCTCGCCAGTGTCACCAAACCGGGGCTCCAAAAGCACGGGGCTGCTTTGAAAGGGAGCTTGTTAAATCACCACCACACTCCTCTTCCTTTCTTCTTCTGTTTCTCCTTCTGAACAATGGAAATACTGACATTGAGAGTTTTCCTCTCTGCTTTGGCTCTTATGAAGAGGAAGCCCATGTGCAGCTCACTTCCACCCAGCAAACCTTTATTATTATCGCTACTATTATTGTAACATTATAATTTTCCCATCCTTTTCCCCCTCTTCACCCAAGTGTCCTTATCTCTACCTTATCTTGCCACAGTGAATCTTTGTGCTCTACCTCTTATTGTTTTGGGAACAAGGCGAGCTGTAAACCCATAAAACAGTGCTTGTTGTGAATGAAGGTGGGTGGGGGGAGGAGTTTTCCAAGGGAGAGAGGTGTAAAAGCAGCATCCTGGTTCCAAACTAATGTCAGTGAGGGGGAACCTCACGGAGGCACAGCTGGAGTCCTGGAGGACCACGAGGCGAGGCCAAGATAAGAGTGATTTCTCCACCCACTATTAGCCTCTGATCTTTTTTCTTTTTTTTATTATTTTTTTTTTTTTCCTTTTGTTTTTTTGTATTAATTTTTTGTTTGTATTTTTTTTTTTTTCTTCCGACTCCTGCCTCCATCCGGGCCTGTCTGCCCCTGGGCTTCCCTGCAGAATGCATCGCTGTTCACAGGGGGCTCCCTGAACCCCCAGGCTCCATGCCCCAGGATATGGGCAAGCTCCGACCCAGGGATTTTGCATCTCTTGTAAATCCTCTTCCTTTTGGAGAGGAAAGTGAGGACTGAGGATTAATTCCACTTTGCTGATCAAAGTCTCTTGAATAGCTTGAATGTGTCTCTCTTATCCCTTCCCCTGTACTTGCTCATAGCCTCTAGACTGAGTCACGGCTCCAAAGTAATTGTAAACACCGTCTTTTCTGACAGCCCAGGCTGCTACTTACAATTATCCAGATTAATGCCAAGTGGGCAAAGGGCACTGTTCTGGCTGAGCCCACACCCATGCAGACCCCTGCAGCCCTACGGCAGAGGCATGACGAGGCCAGGCTGGTGGCCAGAGCCCAAGTCCTCTCCCTGGTGGACTGGGCCCCCGTTCCCAGCAACAACAGGCATCGTGAATCCTGTTTTCTGCATTTGTACCCTTCTTGGAGGACCCAGGGCAGAATGCCGAGGAGGACCACGAGGACCGGAGGGCCTGGGTTAGTTAGGTGATACCCCCACCCTTTCCTCTGAACTAGGAAAGCAGCGAAGGAGGAAAAGGAAATGAGGTGTGAGGCTCCTAAGAACCCATTTATTTCCCTGCTCCTGGGGTCACAGCAGAGCCCATCTCTCCTGAAGGTGTCACCCCCGGAAATCCTCAGGGACCACAGGTACCCAAAAGACTTTTGGCTCCCACTTTAGCTGGGGGTACCCTCTCACTCTCTTCCTGTGTCTTGTTATTGAAACAGAGAAATAAACTGTCTGATGTGCTTTTAAAACCAAGGCAAGATTTAAACTGCACTCAGTGGTGATGACCACATGCTCTCATTCTTTAGGGAGGAAAGTGAGAAAGGGCAGAGTAGGTCAGAAGATGGACATTAGGAAGCTGTATGAGGAGGAGATGGGGAAAAGAAGGAGGTAGGAGAGTCACCAGAAAGAAAAATGAGTGGGAGAGGCCAGGAGAGGACAGAGAGAGAGGAGACCAAGTATCTGCGGAATGAATGAACTGAGTGCTGAAAGGTCCTCATTCTAAAAGTAAGACACTAAGGGTCAAGGGGTAGTTGGGGACCTCTCACCCCAATCCCACAGCTAGGAAGGGCTGGAGGGAGGACTAGTTCCCAGGCCTCTCCAGTATCTGCTCTAAGAGGGTGTGGGTCACACCTTCCTCAAGGGCTGGTGCTTGAGCTCCTCAAAACCTGAGTCTAGTGTCTCTTCGATCCCGCCCAGGACACAGACAGATGTGGCCTGATGCTTTACGCAGAAACATGCTGGCTTTTGCCCAACTCCCCAGTTGTGCACCCTTCACAAGAAGCCTGGCACAGGAGAAAAAGCTGTGGCTTGGGGCAGGAAATCCAGCTCTCGTCTGTGTGACCCAGAGAGAGTGTCTTGCCCTCTCTGGACCTCTAAGCCCCCTCTAGACAGTGTGACTAGGGGTTGCACCAAGGAGCCAGACTGGCTTTGCTGCGTCTTCACAGAAATCCTCACCCTGCAACACCTGGCCTAGCATAGCACAGGTGCTCAAGAAATGTTGAAAAAGTGCCTGGGCCACTAATCAGGAGGACTGGGGAAAGCCAGGAATCTGTGGTTTCCAGAAGAGAGGAGAGCACAGTGATCCAGCTGAATGGAGACTTGAGCTTCCACAGGATGGTTGTATAGGAGACTGTGGCATGTAGTAGTGATTATATCCAGAAATGGGACATTTCTCCTTGGAGCACAGAATGGGGAGAGCAAACCCCTTGGTGTTGCCTTGCAGGCATCGGAGTCTCCCACTGCAGTGTTATGTGTTTACCCGCCAACAGAAAGGTGTGGTGCTCATCACCACCGACCATTCTTTCTGCTCTTTGCAAATGAGCTACTGCAATTGTGGGCAATAAAGGCCAAGCTGCCAGGAGCTCCCAGCCACCTGGAACCACTACAAGCCAAGGTGTTTTCTGCTCCCCCAATCTCCATCCCTACGGAGCACCCCATTCTACGTCTCCTCCAGGTGTACCTGACATTGGCCAAGCTCATCCCTGGCCTCTGCAGTCCTCCCAGGTGGAGAGCATGCTCCTGCCTAAAGAAATTACTCAGCCTCCCAAGTCTTACTGGAAAGCCTGCATATGGGCTCGTTTCCTCCACTCCCTGCCCTCAGAGGCAAAGTCTGTCCTGGGCACCCCAGTGCCTGCACCTGCCCACTGCCCCTTGTGGTGGTCACCTCTCTACCTGGAACGGTGATGTCCCCATGAAGCTCAGCCCAGCACCTTCTCTGTGCTTGGCTGGACTAATGGAATCACCCACCTCCTGCTGCCCTTAACCCAACCATACCTGGTGGCTTCAGGCTGATAAGAACTCAAAGCGAAAGCTCATTGTAAAGTGAACTTAAAATAGAAAGAGTTTGAACTTGGGCCGGGTTCAGAAGTCACCTCCACCACTTGCTAACCATGCCGGAAAGGCAAATAGCTTGAACTTTAGTGCCTTGTCCATTGCAACAAACCAAACACCCCACACGTACCAAGGACTATGCTAGGCTTTACCTGCATTTTCTCATTTCATTTCCCTGCTACCTGGTGAGAGCTTGTACTTTATCATTATTGCCATTTTACAGAAGAAGTCAAGCCTCGGGAAGATTATGCCCAAAATCACTTAGCCAGGGGATGATGGAGCCACCAATCAAACCCAGCTCTGCGTTATTCCAAATCCCGCTTCTCTCCAGCAAGAGTCCTAGAAATCAGGACGTGTGGAGGCAGCAGGCCCAGGGTTCGGCCCCGCCGTTTTCCCTCCCGGGTTTCCCATCCGCGCTACCTTCCTTGGGCGCGTCGGTGTCCCAGACACTCCACATCTGCACGAAGAAGAATGGCGTCCAGCACACGATGAAGGCCAACACGATAATAAAAGTCATCTTAACTGTGCGGATCTTGGCCTTTGAGATGAGTTTGACGCTGCTGACGCGTGCCAGAGCCGCGCGCCCCCCGCTGCCCGCCGCCGCGCCCTCGGGCCCCTCGGCTGCCGCTGCCGTCTTGAGCCGCAAGTTCTGCCAGATCTTGAAGCTGATGAGGCCATAGCAGGCAGCGAGCACGATGACCGGCACGATGTAGACGGCGAGCGTGATCCACGTGACGTAAGCTTTGGGCCCCCAGGGCTGGATGAAGACCGCCCAGCAGTCGAAGACGCCGTCCGCCACCTCACGCAGCGAGAAGATGTGCACCTGTGGCGCGCTGACCACCAGGCATCCCAGCCAGGTGGCGAGCACCGCCAGGCGGTCGGCGCGGCGGCGTAGCGCACGCAGCGGCTGGCAGATGGCGAGGCAGCGGTCGAGCGACATGAGCAGCAGCAGGTAGGTGGAGGCGAACATGCCCACCACCTGCAGGTATTTGACCAGGCGGCACAGCAGGTCGGGCCCGTAGAAGCGGAAGGTGATGTCCCACAGCAGCTGCGGCAGCACCTGGAACACGGCCACCACCAGGTCGGCTATGCTCAAGTGCTTCATGAAGAAAAAGAGGCGCGAGTGCTTGTGGCGCGTGGTGCGCAACGCCAGCAGCACGCACACGTTGCCGCTCAGCGCCAGGAAGAGGATGAGGCAGAGCACGGCCACCTCCACGCGCGCCAGAGCCTCGTTGCGCTGCGGCGGCCCCGCCGTGCGGTTGCCCCCGGGCCCCGGCGGCGCCGCGCTCCCGTTGATCGCCTCGGCGCTCCAGTTGGCCGCAAGCGCGCCCTCCATGACCGTGGCGGCCGCCGAGCGCCCCTGGCCTTTCGGCCCTTTAAGGCGCGGCAGGGTGGGGCCCGACGCGCGGTCCCGGCGCGCCTGGGGGCTCCTTGGGTTCCACTCGCTGAGACTCCACGGGAGGGTCTTCTGGGTCACACCCTGCAACAAACCCCGAGGGCCGTTGAAAAGACCGCGCCTTTCCCGGGACGCAGGGGCGGCTCGGCTGCCCCCTTCCTAAGAACCCAAATCGTGCGGGACTAGGGGCCGTAATGCCGGCGGGGTTGCTTGGCCGCCACCCTAAAATCCCCTTTTGAGGTGCCTGCTCTGAGCCACAGGAAATGAGCGGGAATCCACCCGACCGCCAGCTCCTTGAGATACTCAGTTGCTTCCACTGAAGGAGAGGGCTCGTAATCAGCCACTTTCCTCTGGAACCGTAACTGCTAAACTAACCACCGCCCCAGACTAGCTTCCCCCGGAACGCACAGCACAGCCGCCTCTCCTAGAAAACCTTTACTCCAGTTACTTCCTCCGGAGATCCCCCAGCAACCACCTGCTTGGGAAACCCCAGCTCAGGACCTCCCCCACCCAAACCTCTCATTTCTAAAAAGCTTAGCCATCCCTCCACGCCCGCCCCGAACTTCCACAACAGCTGCTTCCGTGAACCCCAGTCCAGGTCGGCCTCTCCCGGAGGAACACCTGCCTCAGTACCTACCCCCAAGACGTCCAAGCCGCCTGCTGTTCCCAGTACCCCTCCCGCGGGGATTCTCGCAGGCCCAGACACCTGCGGGATTAGCCCCAGTCCAGGTTTAGGAACCCGAAGCGCGTCTTGGCTCCCCGACTGCCATGGGCATCCCATCTTAATCTTGAGCAGTCACTTTACAATCTGTCCGAGCACCAGGCGGCCCTGCAGGACCCAGGAGCGCGAGACATCCCACCACCTCCACTCGGGTTCCAGTGGCTCCAACCAGCCCCAACCACTCCGTCCACCCGTGAGCAGGACCCAGCTACCGGCACCGAGTCCGCAGGCTGACCTGAAGTTGGCTCCCTGGGGAAGTTGAAACGCTGCGGACGGCTCCAAAGACGCGTGCGCTCCCGGGCCCAGGTTGGGGTGACTACGCTGAGGTCTCAGCCTCCGGAGCCTCGGCTGGAACCCCCTAGCCCTAGCCCGAAGCCTGAAGGCTCGCCGGGTAGGGACAGAAGACTAAAGAGGAGCACCGCCGAGGGCGGGCAGCGTCAGGATGCGGCGCTGTCTGCCGGTGGCCCGCTTTTCTGCAGCCGGTGGCGGGGGCTGCCCCCCCACAGAGGTCCGCTAGGAGGCGCGGAAAGTCGGCCGCGCAGATCCCCACAGAACCGTTCACTCGCCAGCGTCCGCCCCAGTGAGGTAACAGGCTGACTTCACAGTGGCTTCAAACTACAAGGGGGAAGATACTCGTAAGTAACCCGCTTGGTTTCTTCCTTTCTTGGTTTAAAAGCTCCCAACTCTTAGGCAAATGGGAGGTTTGTATAGCAATGTTTTCCCCTTGAGTAGAAGTTGCAAAAAAGCATTTAACTGATATTTCCCAAATATCAGGTTAATTTCAGTTTGTTTTTTTGGTCCTCCCAGAAGCCTGACGTAGTGGATTTAGCAATGAATTCAACTAAGTCCTTGCTTCGGAATCCTTTTGTTCCTTCTCCCATTCATAAGCAACTAGACATGCCTTCTGTTCTAATCAGCACTGGCTGAATTCTCCATTCTTGAGGTAGTTTTAGAGGAAGATCTGAAGGAAAAAATCTATCTTCATTTTAAAGTGATTCTGCTCCGCTGTAGCCCAAAGCCATTTCTGCCTGTTTTCCAGGCTTCAACATTACAATCCTAAATGGTACCAAAGGAAGATGAAATATCCAAGACAGCTTCTGACTCCAAGCTCCTTCTCTGTTTTAAAATAGTTTTTTGAAGTAATTTACAATGGCCAAGAATTAAGACAGAAAAATCAGTGAGGAATCTAAAAAGAACAGGGCTTTTTAAAACTTATTAAATGGATATTTCCTCCTGACATTTCACTTCTCACTCTTTTAATTATGTGGAGAGAATTGAGTTTGCCAAGGACCAGGTTTCCTGAATCCACAATTACAGCACTATGCCAAGATGTCCTAGGGGCAGACCATTACCGCTGCCCTGTGGCAGGGTTCTAGGTGAGTTAGCATTCCAGGACGGGCCTGGGAATTTCCACAGCACTATGAAGGGGTGAGACACAAGAGCTGTCTTTTTCTTGCCTTTGGGAGTTGTGTCCAAATATTGTTAAAAAAAAAAATTCAACTGAATACATTTTGAAGGTCTTACTGGCTTTATTTAACAATTCAGCTATCAGGCAACATCTGATAATCTAGCAGGCAGAAGGGAGCTCCAAGGAGCTGTATAAAATGAAGGACTCTTATAAGCAGAAGGGAGTGGGAACGAGAAGTTACACTAGGGAAAAAATCAGGTTGGTTACTGCAAGGTCACTTCCCTTTAGGGGGTGGCAGGGGTCTGTCAGGCAGATTACCAACTGGTGCAGATCAGACGGTTCCTGACTGACTGGGTTAAAATTCCATCTCTGAGAGAGTCAAAACTGTAAGTTAAACCTTGGCTTGGTCAAGGTAGGCTTATTAGCATAAGTGATTCCACTTTGGGCCTGTTGTCTTGTTTTTAACAATATTTATTAATAGCATCTGTCACACAAATTACAGATTAAAGTTACAGACCCCTCAGGTAAGAATTGAGACCTAGACTGTCTCTCTGGGCCTCAGTTTCTCCACATGTTAAATGAGATGGCAGGTCAAGACAGCTTATCTCTGAGATCTCACCCCTATGGTTTTCTGGAATTTGATGATCTATACCAGGTGAGAGGTTAGTTCTAGGGCATAAAACACATCTGCCCCACTCCATGGCCGGGTGGGGAGGGGTTTCCCCTCGGCACTCCAGATGGCATATATTATACAGTCACCCATCATGTTTCCTATCCTACATACCTATCAGTAAAAATGTGCTGAGGAAATGAATGATGAATGACCCAAGAGCATCCCTCCACAAATTAATCACTAGGGTCAGACCCTGCTTCCCAGAACAATATTTCCGTGGAATTGTGGCTGACGGAGGGCTCTTTGTGAAAAAGCATATTCATACAAGTGTACCATTTTTTGAGTAAGTAATGACAGAGATAAAGCCAGCTTCTTCTAATTCCACAAACCTGTCAGTCAACAATGGATAGGACAACACAACCCCTCTTAAGGAATTGGCATAAATAAATGCATTCCCTATTTGTAGACACTGTTGGCCTACGTGAAAATGTAATGAGAGAAAAAGGGTTCTTTGGGAATAAAAGAGCTTGGAATAAAAGCAGGCTGTTCTTTTGTAGAAGAAAGGGTTTGCTGAGAATCAGAATCCTTGAAATTTGTGACTTCTTTTGGAGAAGTAGGGCCTAGAGGAGTGAGAATCATTTAAAAGTGGTTGTTTAACCACTGGTTAAAGGAGGCCAGTGTGGCTGCTGTGGAGCATGAGACAAACCTAGAGAAGTCAGCCAAACCGCCCCCCTGCAGCCTGGTAGCTGCGGTAAAGGACTTCGTATATCTCTGTCTGTCTGACTGTCTGTCTGTCTCTCTCTCTCTGAGTGTCCAGAGGGGATGGGGGGGAAGTGGGGAAGGGAGATAACTGAAGGAAAGATGTGATAAGCAGTAATTCTATCAGCAGGGGACATGGACTGCACATGGCAGCTGGCAGCTGAGGTGAGAGGCTTCTGAGAGTGGAGCCAGCCTGAATAGGGCAGTGTCTGGACCCACATGGCAAGGACAGGTGACTTGTCCAAGGTCCCACTGCCATCAGAAAGGAAGCCAGACCCAAATCCTGTCTTTCCATGGACCCAGCCACCTTCCAGGTCATGAAAGGTCTGAGCAGCATTGAAAAGGTTCTGGACATAAAAGCTGGAAAGACTTTTTGGTAAAGTAGAGGGAAAGTGGGCACTGGCTGAGGAAAGGGGTTGAAGAGATGCGTTGAGACAGTCCCCTGGAATCATCCGAGGTCAGTCTAGACTCACCCAGGACATGCCAGCAAAACAAAGCTGCCTTCTCCATCCATATCAGTGCATCTCTGGTAGGGCAAAGGAACTGAAGGGAAATTCCAGTGACCAAACACATTGTCCCAAGCCCCAGGCAGCCCCATCTCTCCTCCTCCACCAATTCCAACAGCCCACTCACTTTCCTTTTTTATTAAAAAAAGAAAAAAAGGCATTTCTTCCCAGAGGGGCATCCAACAGAAATCTGTGTTTCTTCCTGGGATGTGGAGCATGTCTTGACAGACTGTACTGTCTCCTGGGCTGTTATGCACAAACATTCATTCAATAAATATTTCCTAAGCACCTGATGTGTGCCCAGCGGGTGACTCTGAATTGCTGCAGAGGGCAGTACTGTGAGTCTGGCAGTGCTCCTGAGCTAAGTGAGAAAATCAAGAGAAGCTGGAGGACACCGGAGTCCCAGAGTGAACTCAGAGGTATGATTCCACCAGGAGCCCACTGCCCTGTGGGACCTGAGGCAAGCCCCCACACCTCCTGGCCTCGGTTTCCTCTCCTTAAAATGAGGATATTGCACAGTCTCCAAGGCCCCTTCCAGCTCCGGCTGTCTGCTATTCCCTAAGTCTGGGCAGCAAAGCACACCCAGCAAAGCAGCGAGCAGAAAATGGGCCTTGTGATGACCTCCTCAGTCCCAGTGATGGTGCAGGCACACAGCAGGTGCTCAACAAACACGAGGAGAAGGATGAGTATGGGCTGTGTGTGAAAGGCTACAGCACTCTGCCTGGAGAGAGAGCCTCCAACAGCTGAAATACCGTTTTTCACCTATCAGACTGGTGAAAATGAAAAAGGAAAATACCTTGGGGGGCGTGATGCTCTCAAACATTGCTGCCAGGAGTGTATTTGGGAAGGGCCTCCTTAGAAGGGAACTGGACAGTGCGTATCCATAGCCTTAAAAACATGGACACCTCTTGACACAACAATTAATCCTTCTGGTGATGTAACTTAGAGAAACTGGGCAAAGAGGCAGAGACATGTATACAGATGTTAATCATCCATTGTTGGGTAACAGTGAATGAATAAAGAATGAGTGGAACAAGGCAGTAGGTATATTCAGTGAAAAATGCTTAGGGGTTAAAGATGGCAGGGGATCTGAGGTAACTGATGTGGAGTTGACCGTGTGCGTGTGTTCATGAGCGTATGCGAGTGACTGACTGATGGGAGGGAGAGGAGGGGGGGAGGGGAATTTTCTATAAAGGATATTACAAATTAACAGCAGTCATCTCTGGATGGTATAGTTATGCATGGTTGAAACATGTGTGTTATCTCTATCTTCTAATTTTCACGGTGCATATGGATTACTTTTGCTATGTGAAAAGAGAGAATCTATTTCCAAAACACCTCATCCCAGACTCTCTGCGGCCTCCTGCAGGAAGTGCCCTCCCCACCATGCTGGGAGGCGGGGCGGAGGGTGGGTTCCCGGCCAGTGTTCCAGGAGTCCTCAGCCAGCCAGGAGTGGGAGGCGCAGCTCTTCAGGGCTCCTGGTCCTGGGGCAGGCCCCCTCAAAGGCCACGGAGGGAACAGAGGGCTGCCCTCTTCCCCATGGCTCTCCATGCACTTGTCAAGCACGCAGCACTTTCTCTTCACCTATAAGGTGTTTCTGCCACTTCATCAGCAGTGTCCTAAGGGGCCATGCTCCAGCAGCAAGCCCTCACAAGAAAGATGCACCCAGCCAGGCCAGGAGGCCAAGGTCCCTTGGCCTGTGCTCCTGCAGTCCATGGGCAGGAGCTTTTCCCTGAATGAGCAGCATCCTAGAGCTGACAGAGGGCAGCACCCTGGGACCCTAAAGCATCGCGGCCAGGAGACACACAGGCTCACACAGCATGCATGTGACCTATGCAAGGGAGGAAGGGCTTGCTCGATTTCACCTGGCAAAACAGGCTGAGCTGAGACCAGGACACCAGGCTCAGGGTGTGATCACGTTCCTGTGACCGAGCTGCCCCTTCAATGTGGCACAAACACCAAACTCACAGTCCCTAGCTGGCTCTACTTAATTCCGCCCCACAGTCTACCTTCCCTCCCCCTGCAACACTGCTCCCTGCAACAGGCATGACTCCAGCCCAGGGCTCCCCACATCCTGTGCGCACCACCTCCCTGCCTTGCTCTGCCCAATTTCCTTTTCCTTCACAG